ATCATATTTCTGCTGTTTAATTCACAATCATTGTGATAATAGATCAAAATGATTGCAACTTTTCCTTCCCTTATAATATACTAAACCAGTGTGCAGCCTTTTTGCATCTTATAACCTTGATTTGGATGGATCTATTACTCCAAATGGAATCCTGGATTGTATTTTTTTGTCTCACCAGCACATGAAGCACCACGCCCCCACTGACGCAGCCCTATGCATTTTTTTAAACACAGGGCTGCTTTTGGTCTACACCCCTTTCTCTTTTCATTCTGCCTTCGTCCCCAGCCGCCTCCAAACTAGGGGAGAGGACACATGTCCCTCTGGGGAAAGCCCAGCCCCAAGGTTCAGTGTGTTCTATCACTTCGGTCCAGTCACTCTCCTGTCCTCTTTAATCCCTCACCAGCAGGCAGACAGGTAGACAGACTGACGCTGAGCAGACAGTTAAGGTCACACACAACCACAGTCAGAAACAGCAAAACTATATATTTTTTATTCTTGCACTCTACATAACTCTATAGGTAAGGATGAAGGATGATGTTTTTACATGAAAGTTTATTAAATTTTTGATCCATTTAGATCACAATTTAGAGAGAAATTTTGACAGGTTTGTATATAGACAGACATATAACAGTTGCTATGAGACAGGATATTGATGATGTTGCAGAGAAAGATGTAAAGCATGTGTGATACAAAAGGAAAAGGAGATGTAACGGTGCATTTTAGATTCTATCCATTAAACTCCCATTACAGGCAATCATGCACTGCTGAAGATGCAGTGTTTTCAGGAGGCTTAGTGGTTTGAAAGGGTGCCATGAAGTCACTAGAGGGAATTTTAATATACTCAGAGTAGAGAAAAGATAAGATTGTAAATGAAGAATTTAAGGTCAGTTGCAAACCTCAAATAAGAAAAGCAGAAGTTAAATGTCGACACAGGCCCCCGGCAGCTACAACCACCTCCCCCTTCTCCCCTGCTCTGCCGTGTTGGCCAGGCAGATATGTGGGGAGCCTGCGCCAGTTTGCCACTGTCACCCAGCCGAATGGGAGTGAGCACTGGAGGCCACCATTGAAATGAATCAGATCCATCACTGTCTCCAGGGGAGAGGAGCCGAGCAGTACAGCCTAATGCATCAGTTGGGGGACTTCGATGGGTGCAGCGTATTCAGGCCACCCCACTCCATGAAAATTGCATTGATTTCATCATTGCTTGGTGCTGTGGGCTAAAGTACTATCAACGAGGAGAGCAGTGTAATGTTTCTTAGTAGATTAGGCTGGGTTGGTTTGGTGTTTGCAACACCAAAACCACACACCGGTCCCTGAACTGGCTTCAATTTTCCCTTTATGTAACTGAGAATGCTCAGAAAGGACCCTGTAACACATGGAGGAAGCATGTTAATGGAAATGTGAAATGCACCATGTAACTTCATTGTGTTACTACTCAGAGTAGCCTCTTCACAGGCATGTACATACAAATATATAATCCCTACAAACACACATACATGCACACTTCCACATATTGCCCAACGTCTCCCAGAAATCCATCTGCTTTCAGCAGGACTTGGGGCTAGATTCATCCAGACAGATCCTCTTAGTTACGAAGACACACGTTTTAATAGGCTGTTTCATGCTGCTGATGGCCTATGATTAAGCCCATGTCTGAGGTGGAGTACCTGGTCTATTTATACTGCCATTAAAGCAGTGGCAATGAGTGGCCTTTGCCTTGGGTTAAAATGAGAAATTTTGCCGACCTCGGAATAAAGGAAAACTTCAGCATGATTAAGGATGTATTCAAGTCTAACAAAGCAGTATGCTGCACAGAATGGAGCTATTTTAATGTGGCATAAGCCTAGAAGGTCTCCGTGAACCTGATTCAAAATGTGACGAGTGTGGATCCTTATTCCTGTCATTGAAGCTTTAAAATACAAATCACAATTTGTTGAGGAAGACTTAGGTTTCATTTATGTTTATGTCATGTATTCATTTGAGGAACGCGACAGTCTCCTCATTGCTCCACACA